AATACCCCAACTCAGATGGCTTCAGATTTGTATAGAAACACTGTATTTGCACACAGAGTCCTTATTTATATCATGCCATTTCAGTGTTCAACCAAGAGACTATTAGTAGTAGCTAAGCATTTTTGAATGGAATATTCCTTTACCCTTCATTAAGCCATATATATATATATATATATATATATAAAGTGTGTGTGCGTGTGTGTGTAAAATAAAACTTAATATGAACTTAAGGAAATTTACCAATAACACAAAACATTTGGAAATTTGAAAGATTTAATAAAAAATTGAAAGAAAACTTGTCCATATTACTTAAGACATCTTTGAGGGAATTCTTGCTGCCGAAATATACACACACACACACACATATATATGTTACACAGGTCTACATTAGATGTCCTATCTTGAAGCTTAACTCCACAGATTGCACACAGACAGCTTTTATGGAAAACATCTATCTGGCATATATGGTACCTGTATGGAGTCCATGACTGAGCCATACAAAAGGATGGCAAGTACAACAGCTCTGTAAACCCGAATTTTCGTATCCAGTCAAATACCCTGCTCATTCCACAAGAGATGGCGAAGTTTGCTGAAAGCACTGGTAGCCTTAGCAATCCAATGCATGATTTCATCATCTAAAGTTCCACTGTAATTGACTTTGCTACCAAGATAGGTGAAAGATTTTACATAGTTCAGGGTTTTGTCTTCTACTTTCAATGGTCTCTCTGGAAATATGTAGACTCATGTTTTTTGTTTCTCACCACACAATTGCTTCGGTTGGTGCACAACTTCAGTTTTCTTTATGCTAAGTGTAAGACCAAATGCTTTACATGCAGCAGAGAAACGATTTATTAGATGTTGGACCTCCTCAAACGATGTCGCTACAAGAGCCACATCATCAGCAAACAACAAATCACGAATAATTTGTGTACGAATATATATATATATATATATATATATATATATATACACACACACACACACACACACATTTATATACGAGGGTCATTCAATAAATAAGGTGAATTTTTTGGTGTAAGGACTTCTAATACAGATAGAAGCTCCTTTTTTTTTTTTTTTTTTTTTTTTTTTTTCACATGGATTTAATTTCTTTTGCAGATTAAAAATAAACTTTGAGAGTTTTGGCGATTAACAAAGATGGCCGAGCAAGAAGCATGCTCCAGGAATTGAACAGCGCTCAGTTATCAAGTTTTTGGTTGCTGAAGGGTGCAAACCAGTTGAAAATCATAGGAGAATGTCAGCTGTGTATGGTGCCACATGTTTCAGCCAAAAAAATGTCTACAAGTGGGCTAAATTGTTTAAAGAAGGACGGAGCAGTGTTGAGGATGAAGACAAGCCTGGCTGGCCTACAGAAGTGAGGTTTCCTGAGGTGATCGAATCAGTCAATGACCTCATTCAGTCTGACAGAAGAACTACTGTGAACTGCTGAGGCAGGTCAAGAAAGACAAAGAACAAACGCAGTGGTCATCAGTCAGAAGGAGTCATCTTGCATCATGACAATGCAAGGCCTCACACAGCAGCCCAAACGGTGCAGACCAACAACGAGCTGAGCTGGGAACTGCTCCCTCATTCCCCTTACGGCCCAAACCTTGCCCCTTCAGACTTTCACCTGTTTGGTCCTTTGAAAGCATTCACGATAGGCACGAAGTTTAAAAGTGACGAAGTCAAAAGTGTTGGAAGCAACTGGCTGAGACATCAGTCCAAAGATTTTTATGCTGAGGGAATACGGAAGCTTGTGCACAGATGGGAAAAGTGTGTGAGAGTGCTGGGAGACTACATTGAAAAATAATAAAAAAGTAAGCTTCTATCTGTATTAGAAGTCCTTATACCCCAAAATTCACCTTATTTATTGAATGACCCTCATATCATCGCTAGGCTATTTCATATATATATATATTACATACAGAAAATAAAATTGTAACACCTTGAATATGGGCTTTAATTTATTCAAGATTTAGTTAATATTGCTGGCTTATAATAAATCATCACGTATACAGATCAATACATTTACAGGTTCCAAAAAAGATATGTACCATTAGTATTCAGACTGCATATTAATTCATTATATATCATCCTTCAATGTTAACACAGGCCTGCTCACAATTGAACATCAAGTGAATAACCTCCTCCAACACAATATTCCATTCCTCCTGTGCCAGCTGACACAACACAGCAAGAATTACAGGTGGATAAATTGAAGGAGTCATGTAACATCCATATATCTTCAATGGAGGACAGACCTAGCAATTGTGCCAGTCAGGAAAATTATCAATCATTTTGTAGAACATGTTTAGTAGCAAATTTCCTTCCTGTTGAATGATATTTTGGATATCTGTGTCACTGTTCAAAGTTTCCATCCCCAAACATGAAATGCAAATGGAAATTATAACATGGTACCCCACTGCAAAATGTGTGAGTTGGTGGCAAATACACTCCAGGAAATGTTATTCTGCCATGTCTACATCGCACATGCAACTGGCTATCTCCTGAATGAATGAAACTTCTATTACTGAAAACTACAGAGTAATATTAAATCCCCAAGGTGAGCTTCTCACAACAGCACTGGAGATGTGCAGGACACAGTTTTGACATTAAGTGGAAGAGTTTGATTAGAAACACATTCCTAGTCCTTCTAAAGTAAAGGATTCCCAACAATCCATATTGATACTCCTGGGGTTAAATTTGTTCTGTGTTGTGGACACTATGAAGTCAGCTAGTGTGGCCCTTACAATGTATAAATCTTGTGATTGTAGCCATACAGGTTTCATTGTATGCCCACCCCACCGTTTTTTTCATCATTTCACCACAAGTAAGGCAATAAGGCCAGTAAAATGCAAGGGGTTACAAAGTGTGAAAAAATGTAGTAAACAAAAAAAAGAAAAAAAAAACAAACATCATTAAGGAGAGAGAACATTAAAAGGACAGGAATTAAGACAGAAAATAACGATTGATATCGCATTTAAATTTTTGAAGATCAAAAGTTGACTGGGAAGCAAGAAGCCAGAAGAGAATCACACAAGCGAGAAGTGCGAGAGAAGAAACAGCATAGAACTCTCAATTACAACTAGTCATTTCAATGGTAAAATGATGAGACCTTACCACTAATCTAGTACTGCACTTAAATTCATGAAGTCTTGGTACAAAAGAGGGAAGTTCATCAGAACAATTACCATGAAAATATTTATAGAAAAGACAAAGGAAAGCTACATTATGGTGTTGGGAAAGTGAATGAAGCCAAGATGCCAGGTCAGGGCAAACAACATTGCAGATTCTTTGTATTTTATCAAGAATTTCTAAATACATAGAAATATTGGACCATATATGGCAGCAATATTCAATGCATGAACAGACTTATAAATTTGTAAAATGTATGGTGTAAGAATGTTTATTTAACCACTATTGTCAACATCAAAACAACACTGACCTGTCATGTCTGACATGCATAGCAATTTACCAAATTGTCCATTTAGCCTCTGGATGGTTTTAACTCCTTCCAAACAACTAATTGAACAGTAGGAACATCTGCACATCTTTGGGATAGGAAACCTTTTACTCTAGACTTTATTTACACTGAACCTTATTGCAATATGCATCATCGTCTAATGCTCAGAGATATTACCCTGAGATGAGTGTCACTACACCACAAGATAGCCAATATAAGAAAATTTACTACTCCTAGCATGCATATATTGTACCCAGGTAAAAAAAAAAAAAAAAACATAAAACAAATAAAATTAAAATAAATAAAAAAAATATAAAAAAAATAAATAAAAAAAAAAAATAAAAAAATAGGTATTGCCCTTCAGGGTGCTGTATTTCCTGTTTTTCATGTACCTATGTTCTTTCAGAACATAAGTGGAGAGCCAGGATCACCTATCTCATGTAGTTCTTAGCAGTTTTTCTCCTTTTGCTAAGGTCCCTACGCTCCATTCACACAAGCTAGGTATAAAGACACGCTAAAAAAAGTAACCTCTCAGCTGTCAATGTACCTCATAATTACTTTGAGCGAGTTACCCTGGATAGAAATAACTGGAGATATTTGTACCAGAGTGGTATCAGAAATTTTGAAATCAGTTGTATTGACCGGTTAAGGAACGAAAGAAAACTTGTTTGCTTTTAGACATATTAAAAGAAAAAAAAAATGATTATGAATAGATGCTTGTACACAAGCATAAATATATAAATATTTGAAGACATTACTATATAGATACATTGAAAAAAAAAAAAAAAAAAAACAAGTAGCTTGCCTGGTAGCTGTGCTAGTTACATATTTCCCCACTGGTACCATTGTTTGCTGTTGAAGCACATGTCAGGATTTTATACACTAACTTTCAAGACAAAAAGCATCATTTTAAAGATTGGTATAACACTCTTTTCATCTCCATTTGGCCTTCTATCAAGGCTAGGATCAACTTAACCCTAGAACACTAACCATCAATTAAAGTTACACCACTACTAACCATAGGTATATCATACCCAGTTTTGAAAATATCAAAAAAAATATAAATATAAATCTTTATTTGAAATATTTTACATATAGGCACTTCAAACTTTGTACTTTGAGTTAACATCATTAATAGGAACTGAAAAACATTATTTAGGTAAGAAAATCAGGTACTGAAAATTGTAATTAAAAATAGGAAAATTTGCGCTGGGTACTATGGTTAGTGTTCTAGGGTTAACATCTCCACTGATATTGCATTTTTTTCCCCTATTTAAACTATTTTTTCTAATCATAACTTGTACCTAGATCTGAAAAAAAGAAATCTTTACATTATGATCACCATAGCATCTCAAGTTAAATATTTATCTTAACTTTTTTTTAAAAATTTTTTTTTTTTTTTTTTATTTGATTTCATCTTTTAAAAAGGTAAAGAAAAGAAAAGTCTGTTACCAAAGATTGTTGTTCTAAAGAATCAGAGTGATGTTAGAACTAAAGAACATTTTAGACTAGTTTAAAAAAAAAAAAAAAAACTTACCTTGAGCAATTAGTTGTATCGGTGCTGTATTGACTGTCTTTGGACAGAAGACTTATCTCAGAGAAACGTTCAGTTTTTATGTAAAATCCTGGTGGCAAATGGTCCCAACTGTCAAAGCGAACACCACCGCCAAGAGAATAGGTTCCCTTTGGACAAGAGTGACATTCTTGATCTCCTTGAATGTCTAAGTACTGACCAGCATCACACGTAAATGCTAAAAAACAAAAATGACAATTTATTTTAAGCAAAAAAAAAAAAAAAAAAAAAAACAAACAGAAAAAATAACGGAAGATTCATATTCAACAAGTGATATCATCTGCACCACTTTCCAGTTCAATGTATTTTTTTTTAATCAATTCACTCCAAGCAAGGTGATAATGCCCCCAAGATGCAAGGAGTGGAAAGGGATGAAAAAACCAGAAACCCGATAAGTTATAAGTTTTTCCTAAAACCCAGATAATCTCTAGGTGATGCACCTAGAGATTATCTGGGTTTTAGGGAAAAACTTATAACTTATCAGAAAAATGGCTGAAGACAGACATAGTGAGATGAATTCATAAATGCAGCAAAATATTCACAATGAAAGATCTTTTCTTTCTGCCGAGGCTCATGGGATATGTATTAACAATTGATGCAACAAATTTAAAATATTTTCAAAATCTCACTTTCTAAGTTTAGATGTTCACTAAAACATCGTAACCACATTGATTGAAAGATTGAAAACAAGAATACAAATTAAGTTACATTTTTTTTTCTTTAAATACCCTGTCCCTTCAGGACATGGGAATCATTACCAATGTAATGGAGTGGTTGCTCAGTGCTTTCTCCAGTTTTGGAATTCAGAGTAGTTATTCTCCTAGACTAGCAACCACTGGCTAGAGAGTTCAGTCTACCCTGCTATTTAATCAATAGCTGGAGGAGAGAAGAAAAGATAGAGGAATGTTCCCCCTCCCCAACTCTTAAAGGCACTTTTGCAAAAGTGAATACAACAGACAAGACTGGAATTTGGAGTTGACACATCAATTCCTCTTTCTACACCAATAACTGTTATACTTACTGCTTCCAACAATTATGACATTGCTAAAAATCTATAGTTTTATCCCCAATTGATAAATGTTTTGCTTCAGTCAATCTTTTATACCAAATACAAGTGCTGTCTGGAATGCTTATGTCAGACAGAGTTTTTCAAATTATAAAATAAAATCAAAGCAAGACACAGCCAGGTTGGTTTGGCTTGTTTTACAGCATATCAACCTCAATGGGTCATTTAATGCCAACAACTTTTTTTTTTCCTGGTAATATTTTGTTTTGTCAAAAAATCTATTTCTGGTAATAATTTTTTTCCTCAAGGATGTATAGCTGGTAATATTATTTTAAAAAATATATTGCTGGTAATAGCTCTTTTTTTCTTGAAAAATTTATTTCTGGTAATAATTTTTTTACAAAGTATTTCCAGTATTAAAACCTCTTTTTACACTTTCATAATGCTTTTTACCTCAGTTTCACGGTTAACTATTTGCCCATATCTGGGACCCTAACAGGTGCTACCACCCTGGGTCGGGGTGAACCTGGGAACACCAGCAATTAAGAGGTGGTTCCACACTTCTCAAAACCTCCTGATCAGAGACCTTGACATTGGACATGGTTTATCGCCTTACCCAGGACGCGGATGTAGTTTATCGTCATACCCAGGACAGGACACAGCCACATTCCTGGAACAAGATAATCATGTCATGAAAAAAGTTTAGAAAGCAGATCAGACCAACTTTTCAAACTCCCTATTCTCTTTGTGGTACTTCTTCCTCTATCCATTTGCCCAGACTTGTCAAGTAGGTTCTCTCTCTCTTTTTAGGTTTCATGATCCTCCCAGATGTGAGCACTCATGGTTCTCCACAGCATTCCGTCTTCTGTTCCCCAACTTCTTTCTCTTTGTGGCACTTGTTCACCTACCCATTTGCTCAGACACGTCAAATAGGTTACTCATTGTTTTCCTAACAGTTTTTTCCTGAGTTATCAAATAGATTTAGTCCTCAATTTGACTGATTTCAGTCTAGTACTCTACAATTAGATAGAGCTGGTACTAACACTCAATTCCCTGGTAAATGACTCAATGGCTGAGTGGGTAGAATAATGGTGCAAAAAAAAAAAAAAAATGGAATTAGCAAGAGTAACCAGTCCCAGAGAAGAACAACTGTATTCAAAACTGGAGAAGTCAACAGGAAACCACTACTTTATTTCCCCCCAAAAAACAGGCCTGTCAATGCACAGCTTATAGATATTAAAGAGGAAAGGAAAGGGTTTCAATACCACTGCAGGAGAAGTGCAGCGTTGCAGAGAGGGGGAAAATAGAGGAGGACGGTTTTTCAGAAAATGGGTAGGATATTGAGGGATTGAAATCTGTCCATAGAAACAAAGAAAAGAATGCTGGATAGCTACATAATATCTGGCTATTTTTTCCTAGTAAGGCTGCATAGCTAATCCCTGTTGTAGATGACTGTTCTGGCTTATAGGGTTTATACTTCAACTATGCTGGGCAGATGTGTGTGTGTGTGTGTGTGTAAGAGAAAGAGAGAGAGAGAAAAAAAAAAAATCAGAGAGATGGTGAGTGATCAGTAGTTGAACCTGGCCAGTAAGCTGAAACCTTCAATCACAATAACTTGTAACTTTGTGAGATTACAACCAATGATGGCTTTCAAATGGTTTTGTGTACCTAATTCCCCCCCCCCCATGGTATGGTTTTCAGACACTTCCCAATGGTACTGGACACAGGAATCATCTCCCCAGACCAATATAATCAAGAAGCTACCTTCTTGACAAATCAACCATGGTGAGATTTGAACTCTAGTCTCAATTGTTGAAACGCTAACATTCTAACCACTTATTACTTATGTTAACACATAAACAATATGCTGGACAATTTAGTTACAGATGAAGTTGTGATAAAGAAGTCACAAAGAAGCAAGAATTACTTAGAGCAACAAAAGAAAGGACGTTGTGGAGAGCAGTGATTGCATGCATTTTGGATGGACTTGAAATCCAAAGGTGTTAAAGCAAATTAATAAACAGTCAAAAAGTAAATGTATTTTCAGATTAGACAGTGACACAAATATTAAAGGTTGTCTCAAAAGTCTGGTTGAGTATCATTGAACCAAGTTATTTTAAAACACACATACTTTATAAGCACGATAAATGTGATACATGTCAAATCTGCAAGTGGCATAGACATCAAAAATAAACAAAGTGCAAATTAGAGTTTCAAATATGCATTATTGTATTTAGTCCACTGTCAAGTAAAACCAAATGGATTTATCTTTTATAATAACAACTGACTGGCAGCTAATCTTGAAAATGACCTACAGTCTGTTAACCAGGACAAGAGGAGGTTTGTTAATTTAATGCCTCTAAAACAAAACCAAATAAAAAAAATCTATTAAATCATCTTAAAGACTCTTTATCAACTTCTCTCAGCATGGCTGATGCTAACCGCCAGGAGAGCAATGCAGTGCACCTTCCTGGTTTCACGTTTTTCTGCTGACAATGTGGAATGACTATATTGAATTAGTTACTAAGTCTACTGGTAGGAATGTCAGTCATGCCACAATCTATCTTATACCTTTATAAGTCTACCACTTGTCCATGCATTGAATCTGGTCTAGGGCTTTTGGTTTATGTCAAGAGATTCTTGACAAAATCTAAAGAAGAATCAGCTATTTTATCAGTCCTGATCTTATAACAGCTTAAATCACTTTCTCAATGCCGTAACACAGCTGCAGTCACTTTCACAATGCTGTAACATGGCTTCCCTTTGGCATTTCTATAAATAGTTTCATAGTAACTATCCTGCTACCTCGACTGTAAGAATTTCAGTGCAGCACCAGATTGGTAGTTAGGTCTCATAATTTCACAGTTGAAACTGCTAGTTGTAACCATAATTTCTAATAATTTCTTCTCTCGCACAATCTTCAGACTTTCAGCTTTCCTGTCAACTACAATCTTCAAAAATGTAAATGCAATGTCAATCATCATTTTCTGTCTCCTTGTACCCAGTTCTTTTATTGTCCGGTTTCGAAAAACTCAGTAACATCTTGCATCCTAGTAGCTTTTATCGTTTCAGGTGAAGTGATTAGAAAATAATTTGTAACTTTTCTGTAATATTTGAATATGAAACAGTTTGAATACATGAAAAAAAATTTTAATAAAATAAAGCAATGAATTAAATGGAATGAGTATCTTAAAAATATTTCATTACAATGTAAAATCATAAGAGCAGTAACTAAAAATTATGAAGGGACACAATGTTAATATCGCCTAAAATCATCATTAGTCTTCAGTCTTTCTTAATATGGCAGTAAATAACATGAAACTTTAAAGACAGCAATAAATAAATTAATGCAGGACAGCTGTTTCTTCAACCCTTTAGCATTTAACATGCTCAAATCCATCCCACAAATATCGGTTCTCCAAGTCTCACTGTTTGCGTGACTTTCTGCGTTATTTGCAGTAATGTCATCATATATTATGGCAGAGCATACATGGAGCAGGTTAAGGTGAATTGAACAATGAGAGGCAATGTTTATGGACTGGGCTCAATGTTAAAGAGTTAACAAAAATACAAAACATTATAGATTTTTACTTATTATCTAAGCTCAGAAATAGTCTTCTTTTGAAATAATGTTTGAAATCTAAAATTGTTACTTTATTGAATATACATTTAATCTTAAGTCCGATTTATAGAAAGTCCTAAAAAGTAACAATAATAGTGTCATATCTACACATAAAAATCAAGAAAAATGTCAGAATATTTTTTTCACTTTTACAGAGACACAAACACACACACACATATATATATATATATATATATATATATATATATATATCCATCCAGGTAAAATGAGAACAAATGGAGTATAATTCCATTGTACATAACATTTAATTTAAAAGTGGGCTGAACACAGATTAGAGCTAAATATTATTTATGTTAGGATATTAAAACATGTTAAAAATGACAATTATGTTTCAACACAACAAATGTGTCTCCTCGGGCAGTGTTGAAACATAATTGCCATTATGTAGCGATTTTTAACATGTTTTAATATCCTAAAATAAAAAAAATATTATATATATATATATATATATATATATATATATATATATATATATATATGTAAGCAAATATATGAATATAGATCCGACAGTATGAAGAAAAATATATACAAAAAAAAAAACAAACAAAAATCCTAATATGCAATTATGCTGTTTTAATGTTAATATGTCAACGTCAGACGTTTCGGTCTAGTAGACCATCTTCAGGACATATTCATAAAACACGATTAACATTAGACTATATTTAATTCAACATGAAAAGACTATAGACATAAGAGCAAGACTAATCAAAACAGTGAAAACGTATTCCTAAAAGAGTATTTTGAATGAAAAATGAAAAGAATTTTATTTTAATCTAAAACTTATATGTACGTTTGTCGAGCATTAATCTTGCTAGAAAAGGGGAAATATTAAAGAAGCCGGGTCTAGTATTCACCGTGCGTGAGAGATATTATGCCTGCCTCATAAATCCGTCTAAGATTTTTATTATGAATATATTTTAAAATCTTCACAGAATCAAAATTGAAATTATGATCAGATTTAGCTGTGTGTACAACTAAAGCATTGTTTAAATTACCGAGGCGAACATCTCGTTTATGTTCGAAAACACGCTGATCTTGAAAACTTTCAGTTATCTGTTTTGATTAGTCTTACTCTTATGTCTATCGTCTTTTCATGTTGAATTAAATATAGTCTATAGCATAATATATGTTAATCGTGTTTTATGAATATGTACTGAAGATGGTCTACTAGACCGAAACGTCCGACGTTGACATTATATTAACATTAAAACAGCATAATTGCATATTAGGATTTTTGTTTGTTTTTTTACATACATACATACATACATACATCCCATAATTAACTATTTCAATGAAATCTGGCAGATTTTTTAAAAAACTGATACAATTTTATGTTTATTACTTAATTATGATACAAAAAGATTTATTGACAATTTTGTTCTCCATCTGTATCTCGACAAATTCAAAATCTATTCTTAGTGTTGCAAAACACATTTAGAAGCATTGCAGAAGTTATCTCCTGAAATGCTAACTGAATGCATTCTTTATGCTCAGTTAAACTATTGATCATGTGGTGATCAACCTTTGTTTTTATGGAAACCTATGCAAAGAAATTGGGAATGGGGGGGGCAAAAAGATGCTTTCTTGTGTATTCATTATTATTAAGTTTCCGAAAGGAAGTGAAAATAAAATTAGGAAAACAAATTGGAAATGTTATAAACAAAATTAGAAATTTATTCATTTATAAGACATTAAACATGATTAACAGTAATAAAACTGAATTTTTTTTTTTAAAAAAAAAAAAAAAAAAATGTCCAATTTCACTGAAATAGTTAATTCTGGGGGCACCCAGTATAAAATATTGCACATTGAGTGCCAGTGCTAATAAAATAGTGCTCAATGTACAATAACAGAGCTATAATTTATATTAATAGTAAATATACTTTTTTTCTCACAGGTAGTACAACTAAGTTTCATGCACAATGCAATTGCCAGGTGCTGATTAAAGCACTCGACAGAATAACTTGAAGTTATAGTGAATAATGAAATTGAACGTATGCCATAACACTGGGCTCTTTCCTACGCTAAGCTGAAAAGGGAGAGAAAAGATCTGTAAATCACGAGCAAGGTCAGTCAAAAGAAAATAAAGTCATGAAAACCATTTTCAATTCTTTTGAATTCCTGAAGAAGTGTAACTTTAACTATTTCACAAATTCTAGGCCTACAGCCATATCACGTTGAAACACCAGTTCTTGCACAAAGTTAAGCAATGTCAAGCCTGGTCAGTACCTAGATGGGTGACTGCCTTGGAATGCCAGGTGCTGCAAACTTGGATGTGTGAGTGGTGTAATGAATAATGGCTCAGAATTAGAAATCAGGAGCAGAGTTCCAATTCCAGTCTGATTCGTTATATTAACTTACAAGCAAATACGCTTGGGAAAGGCATGAATCCACCTCTTTCCCCACACCCCAAGCTATGGGTTAAATAGTAGGACTTGTATCAGTAAATCATTGTTATCTCCAAAAATTCTTACATTCTAAAAATGTTTTCTGGCTTTAAATAACTTGCAAGAGATTGGTAAGCCATAAAATGCAAATCAATAAAAATTCACAATTTCTAGAAATGTTAAAGGAACTCATCTTCTCATCTAGAAAATTGGTTCTGCTTGAACTTTGCTTGAGCTGCTTCTGCTCAAGCTGACTCCATCGGTCATACATCATTAGCAGCATATCAACCTCTATGGGTGATTTAATGCTGAAATCTAAATATTTGGAACACAATTGTATGCCTTCAGTTATAGATAAAATGTATTGTTTGTCATTTTACTATGAATAGGTATTGCTGGTATATTTATATTTTCATAGCACTTTGTTTTTTATTTAGGGTTTCATTATTTGCCCATAGCTGGTACCCTAACAGGTGCTACCACACTAGGTCAGGGTGGACCTCAGAACAGCAATTAAGAGGTAGTTCCATACTCCTGAAAATCTAAATCTCTCAGAGGCCTTGCTGCCAGATGTAGTTTATTGCCAGTCTTTCTACACAAGAGCCAATGCATTTTCAAAGAATGCAATTCATAAATTTCTTTTAGTTGAATTGCTTAATAATAATGAAATGAAGGAACTTACTGCAATCTTTGCCCCTTATGGGAGCATTTGGGACACCTCCTGTACATTTGTGTGGGTCTGGCACAGATACTCTCCATCGGCCACCAAATTTATCACATTCTGTATACTCGTAGTGGAAATCTTTCTGAAATTGCAAAGACAAGACAATATAAAGGAAAATGTCAATACAATGTCAACTAAATTCTATATTAAAGCAGGTTGAAGTAAAAAAAAAAAAAAAAAAAAAAAATGATTTTGCAATAGGATTACTAACTCGTACTGATTTTTCTAAGTGTAAAACCTTGCAGAAGAATTAAATGCCACATTTAGAAATATCTTCAGAAATTCCCCACCTCACAAGATTTTTTTTTTCTTAAATCCAAGGATTTTCTCCCAGTCTACTTAATCTTTTTTGCTTTTATTAAGTTTTAATTTAAATATTCTCAAACAGAATCTACAGGACAATAAGCTATGGTAAAGTCAAAATTAATGGTTAATTTTGACTTTACCATAGCTTAGTGTCCTGTAGATTCTGTTCAAGAATATTTAAGTGAACATTCAACATCCACATGTAAATAAAATAAGAAAGTTTATTCAGGTATATTGTGTAAACAAGTTCAGATCTTCGATTTATCTGTAAAAAAAAAAAAAAAAACAACAAAAAAAAACAAACCACAACATTTACATTGTACTTATTTTTTTTGTTTTGTTATCAATTCTTCACCCCCAAAGAATTACAAACTATGGAGCATCTTCTAGTTTACCCCAATCTTGAAGATTCATGCACACTTAACGATCTTGAAACTTCAACACCCAGGCAAGGCTCTGTGTGCAACACTGTAGGTTTAGTGTAAAAAAAAAAAAAAAAAACACCCAAGCAAAGCAATAATGCCACTAACATGCAAGAGGCTACTGAGAGTGAAAGAGAATGAGAAGATGAAGAGAAAAAAATAAAGACACAGAAACAAAGGATAAACCTCTACTCCTGTTCAAATGACTGAGGAGTATGAACTGGATGAAAGGCAAACCTATCTACTCTTACTGAAGAAAAAGTAATAAATAGTAAATAAAATTTCAGGAGTTTAGGCAGAGACATTAGAAGTATAGAGTTGAAGTAGACTTTAGAAGGAACTGGAAATCCTAAACAGGAACTCAATTTGTAGGAATTGTATTGGCAAATCATTTATCTAAAGAAATTCTAAATCCAATCCTCAACAGGAAACAAGGGATAAACCTCAACTCCTGTTCAAAAACTGTGGAGGAGTGTGAACCAGACAATAAGCAAACCTATCAACAAAAATAATTCATCACCCACAAAGCCATATAGACACTTTTGCCCAGGTATGGCAAAAACCTGACCTTTCCACAAGTTATCAATATTTTTAATAAGGATAGATATTAAAAACCAGAAACTGCCAGAATGTTTTCTTCACATAAACCTATCCTGAAAATTTTACCAATATTAACCTTTAGCATTCTGTATGTGACTATTTTTGCCGAGAAAAATAGTTAGCTCTGCCAATGAAAGTTGAATTTGAATTTCTTGGTTGTGTAGGCATATCCTTCTATGGCAACACCTAAAACAATCTAGACAGAAATTGAGAGGCAAGATACAGTAACTTCAAATATATAGAACTAATATACAAAACACTATATTTTGAGGGGTATTCCATATACAGTAAAAGGAGGAGTAATATTTATAAATGATGCAAAATACTAAATGTTAATTGGTTAGTATCATTTTTATTGTGAAAACTGACTTGCATAATAAAATCTGATCATCTGGAATGAACTCGGATCAAATATGGATTAGAATCCAACAAAATGATAGGATCAGGAACAAATAGGAAATTTTCACTGATTCAGCAGGTTTTGCTTTTGCCTCATCAGAAAATTAAATAATGGAAGAGAAAAGAAAAGTGATATTTTTTATTTTGTTTGTTTTTCATTGATTAAGCAGACCTCACATGTATCTGTCTTGTCAAGCATCTTTTGTATGTGTAATTGGTGTGCATATATATATATATATATATATATATATATATATATTTGAATAAAAGACAGACCACATTAAGATTCCATGTAATAAGCTATTTCACCATAACCCCTTTAACAGCTTTGGAAGTAAAGTCTGATGATCCAGAACCCTGTTAAAGGGGTTATGGTGAAATAGCTTATTACATGGAATCTTAATGTGGTCTGTCTTTTATTCAAACATATCTGTTCTGAATTTTACATTGAGCTCTCTGGATATCATCCTCCCCAGGTCTACCTAAGTTGGCATAAACTAACTATATATATATATATATATATATATATATATATATATATATATATATATATATATATATATATATATATATATTAATAATCTTATATTTATAAGATTATTATATTCATTCAGAAAAACCTTAGGTGTTTTGGCTTGTAAATGAACAAACCAATACCCAAGGAAAAATAAGGAATAAAAAAAGAAAGAACTAAGAACATGTAATTCAGGCAAAACACTTGTCCAAAATCCAAATTCAGAGTCCAAACAAAACCTGTTGATCCGCGTAGGTGAAACCTAGGTAGGTTTGCCTGGCTCTTTATATATAACTATGTGTGTGCGTGTGTGTGTTTCGTTAAAGACGACTGACAGGGTACTGCAATTGTGTTTGTACAAGTGTTTTCTTTTCTGGACACAAAGTGTGTAAAAACTGTCCAAACAACATCTTCTCCATGAGCCAAACCCATGCCAACTGTATGTTGAATTTTCACTTAGAAATATCAAAGAAAAACACCACCCCAGTTGACCTGGACAAGAAAATTAAATTAATTAACGATTACAAAAAATTTAAAACAGCTTAAATTAACCTTATCCTAAAAAATAACAACATACCTGCAAAATCAAAACTACAAAGAACCAACATTATTTAGGAGTTCAAATGCCCCTTAGTAATATAAAGAATGAAAAACATACAAAATCTACACAAATCCTATAATTCCCTTTAAATGATTGCAGCAATGAGGCTAAAAATCTTTTTTCCTAGAAATGTCATTTTTACCTTAGCAGACCCATGTCAAGATGAACTTACTCCTGTTTGTTCAAAATCAACTAACAAATTCTCTCTGATAGCTCAAAATCTGAAGAGACAAAACAAAGATGGAGTAGGAGAATGGATGAAAAGAAAATATTCAAGAAATACAATAAGAAATGCCAAGATAAAATGAATGAATGCAAGACAGACCAATTTCCTTTTGAAGAGGAAGCTAAGGCACACAGATACAAAAAAAATTATTGGCATTTTATCTGGTTGGGAGTAAGAAATCCACCAAGAATAATAAGTATAGAAAATGAGAACTGCAAATAATGATTGTTGGCCAAATTCTTTCAAAAGGAAGAATCAGCCCATCTCTCAAGAAAATCAAAATAATTTGCTCCATATAGTCACTTTATCGAGTAAAGGAACTGAAGGGATCGTTACAAATTGTCTTAATAAAATAAGTCAATAACAAGATGACGGGAATGAATGACTGAAGAAACGAACCAAAAAAGCAAAGCCCAAAAGAAAATAACTGTTTGCATCTGTTGTTACTATTTATTGCTTGTAAGAAACATCGGCCATTAATAGTCACCAACATATTCATTCTAAAGAAAAATATTAATAAAAATAAAAACAAGTCCCAGCCTCATACTTGTTTTTATCATTATAATCGACATTAAGAATACACACAGCATCAATTATTTCCACATTCAGTAGGAATCGATTTTTTTTTTTTATATTATGAGCTAAACTTAAAAAACAGATTTTTTTTTTTTCTTTAGGCTCATCTCTAAATGCTTATAATACCATCTCCATTTTCCATTCACTCTTAGAGTCTAAGAATACATGCAAATCAGACTAACTGATTTATTCTATTATTTGAACCATTGATTGGTTGGATGGTGGATTTTATGACATCGCATCACTTCTTGGGTTATTTCATGTCAAATTTTGTAACCAGTGAGAACTGAACTCACTATTTAGTCAACCAGACTAATCTTGTTAACCATTACACAAAACAGAGAAACTGAAGCATTGATAAAAAGAAATTTTCAGAAGAAAAAAAAAAAAGGGTACCAGTTTAGCAAAAGACTGTTTTAATTATTTTAGAAATGACTGAATCCAAATATATAAATCTTATAGCTGACATGAGAACTTTGTCCTTCAGCATATGATCATGGAAGTAAAACTAATATACCAGAATAAAGCATTCTTTATGCTACTTGTAAAATCTGTAATTGCCATAAGTTGCGTGTTTGGGTTTTATTTATCTGTGTGCACAGCATAGGGATTTTAAAATGACATGAAGAATTCACTTCTTGAATTTTTTTAATAAGAATTTCCAACTAGACATTCATAATACTTAGATGTGACACATTTTTTAGTGAGGTGGGGATTGAAGCAATAAAACTGATTTATTGATGCAGAAGTTTTAGAAAAATTAAAAGAAATTGTCTCAGTTATGCATACAATGCATAGCTTATGTTTCATAATGAATGTTTCCTATCACTGGAAAGAGATAAAAAAAACAAAAAAAAACAAAAGTCTTGCTGAGATTAGTGGGAAAATTATAAGGCATTTAAATTTTTGCTACTTTAAGATTTGAAATAGGACAAAACATTAGGAGTGCCATTCTGAGAGAATTAGAAGTCATAGCAGGATTCATTATTGGCAGTTACAATTTTAACAACATATGCAGATAATACAGTATTGATAACAGACACAGAAAGGAAACTATAAGAACTCCTACATAAGATAGTGAAGGAAAGCAAAAAGAAAGGACTAAACATCAATTGCAATAAGATGGAATACATGATTATCAGAAAAAGGAACAGCCCAACATGTAAATTACAGATTGGAGATAACAAAATGAAACAGGTGCAACAATTTAGATATCTGAGAAGAATAGTAACAGAGGCGAGAAAGTGTGAAACTGAAACATGAAGGTGCATTGGGACAGAAAATGATGCTACCAAAAACCTGCGTAAAGTATTAAGAACAGAAAAATCTCATTAGAAACAATGAAAATAGTACTGGATTGTTATGTAATATCAGTCCTTCTATATGACAGTGAATACTGGGCAATCTCCTCACAGAAGAAGGGACTACAGAAAGATGC